GTGTGCAGTGGAGCCCCAGCTGTGTGTGATCTACACCAGTGTGCAGTGGAGCCCCAGCTGTGTGTGATCTACACCAGTGTGCAGTGGAGCCCCAGCTGTGTCTGACCTGGTGAGGTTTCAGAGTGGGGAAAGCAGACGAGCCTCAGCGCCTCACTGACGGGACAGTTGATGTTGTAGGTGGGGCTGACAGGCTGCAGGCTGCTGAGGAGGGAGGGCTCAGCTCTGAAGGGCTCAGTCCAGTACTGCACTTCGGCTGGCAAGGCCATGACAAACCTCAGGCCTGTGATACTGCACGCGTAGCAGCCTCTGCTGCTGAAAGCGAAACTGCAGAGAAAACCCATGAGCTCCAACTGCATGTGCACATTAGAGCAACTCAAGACCTCCGAACCAAGCAGGGACATGGAACAAAGAAAAAGAGCCTTCATTGGGTGTAAGCAAAGATGGGAAAACAAAAGCCAGGAGAGAGGCGGAGGTGGGAGCAGAGGACAGGCAGAGTGGCCTATCAAGTGGTGCGAGGTCGAGAATATAGAGAATTAGAAGCAAAAAACTCTGTAGTCTTGCAGTCTGTGTAGACACCAGTGTGCATTTTCAGTTTCAGTTTTCAGTTTCACAAGTCGCTTTCCAGCACACAGAACAAAAAGCAGACAGCACATTGCCTCTGTACCTGCATCTGACACGGCTCCCGTCAGGACGAGTCTGAGGACGGAAACTGGAGTGTGGAAGCACAGGAGGTGTCTGTGAGACAGAGTAGGAAGAAACATTGGTTACTGAGTACAAAACAGTGGGTACAGAGAAGGGGTCTGTACTGGACCACTGCTCTTTTGAAATTAGGTACTACGTTACAAAAAGGGTGGTGGGGGTGTGGAACAAGCTGCACATATATGTTGTTGAAGCCGATACCCTGGATTCTCTCAAGGCAGAGAAAAACGATAAAGAGTCCTAACAAAGTGTTAGGAAATGGGTTTATCAGGAGATAAAAAACACATACCTTGACTGTGTCATCTTCAGACATAGCTACCCCAGACTCAGATTCCACAGTGTGAGATCCCTCAGTCTCAGATACCCTGGACAGAGGTAGCTCAGATGTCGGACCTGTGGAAACTGAGAACCGAGCAGTGCCAGGAGTGAGATCTGTCTGGGAGGACGGTCACAGCACTTCGGTTGTGACACAAAATGTAAAGTCCAAGGACCTGCTTCTCTAAGACTCTGTCTGGGTGGGGGGGATCTGTCTGTAAGGTGTCTCTTATCATGTTTGCAATGTTTTCCATAGATACTTCATTACATACTCTTTTTTTCCCCAAATGTCCTCTTGACCTCATCACTCCCCTGTCCTCGAACCCACCCGATCCCAGATGGCCAGTATCGGGGTTTCTTTAAGACCAACCCAGTGACTCCAGGCTGGCGGCAGGACCAAGGTTGTGTTATGTTGTTTACAGCCGTCTCCCAGAGTCACAGGATTCTTCTCCAGGCACCTGGGAGCCGAGCAGTAGACAGCTCCATTTTTGCTACAGTATGTCAGGAGCCAACAACCTACCAGCTGCCAGTCACGTGACCCTTTCGGCATGGCAGCTGACTGGACCCTTTCTTGTGGTGTTGTCAGGCCAATGGAGATGTAGAACATTATTTGATACAGCAGTCCTAATAATTGATACCAACATTAATTCACCTGAGTAAATTATCTGGACTACGTGTGATCATCCTCCCCCTTCTTTACTTGGCCCTAGGACAGCCATGTGGTTAAAGGGGAGCTGCTGTCCCAATTTCTCAGAACGGTTATTACATCTTGGTAATAAAATACATTTACAATAAAAAAAAAATGACAAATTTCCAAATGAAGCACAAAATCGTGTACACTAAGTCGTCGTGTTGTTGCAAACTCGCATTCAAGTTCCCACAAATTCCGAAATCCGATGTGGCCCTTCCTGCTCACTAGTTACTGTACTGACAGGAGGGTTGAACTCTTTCTCTCCCCAAAGCTTCCTTCTTATAGTGCCAGAGCATGGTTCTGCATGACAAGAGCAACACTATTCAGTGAGATAATCAAGCCTTCGACTGAAGGAGGTATTCGAACTGAGAAATATAACCCATTGAAGTGGAGCTAAAAGACTATTTAATCTAAGAAAGGTGATTGTGTTCATATCCTCAACCTTATTTAAGCTGCAGGCCGCCGGGGTCTCCAATACTGGTCCTGGACAGAACCAATCCAGCTGTTTTGATTTGTCGCCCTAAATTACATAATTGAACTTGAGGAACACGTATTAGCAGTCTATGAATTAAGAAAGTTGTAATTCAATTTTCCTCCCCCTCTGTCTGTATTGCCTGTACAGTGTTGATATACCACCAGTTGCAACACCTCCACTCCAGGTCTGTGTCTCAGATGTGAGGACCTGGTGAGGCTGATGCGGTAAAAGACTATTTCTGTACTGCTTCCTGTTTATGTGTTATGTGTTCCTTCATTAAGGGGAACAATAAGATTGTTGGAGAGTTTGCAGAAGCATACAAAAATGTGAGAAACCAATAAAATTAACAAGCATAACTGGAGATTCTCTCTTCCATCCCTTCACTGAAAAAGTGTGTCATCAGTGAGAGCGTAAGTAAAACAGAGCTGTGTGTCAGTGTGCCGTACAGAGAGAGGGTCAGTGATGTAGGAGAGAGAGAGCT